ACACACACACACACACACACACACACACACACACACACACACACACATACACATACACTCCCTTTCCTTTCCTTTCCTTTCCAACTCTATTGTGTGGAAGAGATAATGTCAGTTTTCTTGTCTTGCTATTGGGGCAGTCCGGATTGAAAATCTATTCTAGAAAAGGAGATGTTGGTTGGCGTTTTTGGACAGAGGACGATTAGATTCATTATCACCTCCTGCCAGCAAATTTCTCCATCTTGCTGACAAAGTTTTGTTGACAGCTTGTTTGGCGTAAGCTAATGCTCTGCTGTCGGCTCCGAAACCCCATGCTATTGTGACCTTGGGCCCAGTATCTTTGGGGGAGGAAGAAGCTGCTTTGTGTTGGGGAGATGTGCTGCCAATCGGCAGAGGTTAATGTGGGGGGCTTTTTTCTCTGGCTTTGGACTGCATCTGATAAAGTCTCATGCAGGTGAAAAGATTATTGACCTTCCTGAGGACACACTATACAGTTTTCTAATGATTGATGTGAGTTTCTCTTTTATTCTTTTCCTTTTCCTCTTAGCCTGTGCTAAGAGGATCAAAGATAAGAGCAGATCCATGTGCAAATGTCTCTTATGGTCCATTTACCATGGGCTGATTGTGTTTGGCACCTGACAGAGATATATTAGCCTACCTCCTTTCTCCAAACAAAGATAAGATATTGGCTGCCTATTTTGGATTTTGGATGTGTGTCGGCAGTTGGGGATGTGTATTTGAATTTTGTGCAGTGGCTGTTTACAAGGTCACTAAACTGCTTGGCCTTGACATTTTGCTCACCGTGGTATTCACCGAGCATTATGTGGAACAGTTTAAAGGATTAAGCTGTGTTCCCTAGAGGCAGTCTGTGCATGCGTCTGGTTTACTAGGAGTCTATTTTTTTCTGCATTTATATGTGTCGCTGTTGGCAGGTTAATAGAGTACAACGCAAAACACAGTTGTATGACCTACAGTCTGACCTTATTTAGCAATTATTGTTTGTTATTTTGCATTATGATACTGGAATTATCAGCTACCTTGTAATCAGTTATATGGCACACTTTGTTGGTTTTTCTGGAACAGCAGAGTTGTTTAGTTAGAATAAATAATACTGTTTTATGAATCGAGCGTATCGGAGGTTGAACGGAAATCTTGTTATGGGGGTAAATGATTTGTCATCTCTCAGAATCTCTGCATCTTTGCCACATTTTTGACACAGAGTCATGAACTTACAGTGCGGCCAATAACAGAGCGATTTGTGAGGAGTCAGTCAATGATATTTTCACCATCACTGAAGCAGGGAGGAGTGTTTTTATCTGCGCCTGCATTTCTGTATATCATGTCAAACATTTACATCTCATTGAATTTCAAATGCTGTCAGGAATAGTAATGAAGCCTTGCTCCCACTGTTATGGTAATTTGCGTTCGGAAGGGGTGGGGTTCCCTGGTGCCTCCCCAAATCCTCACCACTAGATTTTGGTGTTTGGTGCTCCTTGTTTGATATTTGTCTCTTTTCATAAAGTTCTCATTTTATCTGTCTAAAATGCTAAGTTTATATTAATTCAGCCTTCCTAAGCTTTATTTAGCCAATTGTTTGTAATTTTTTTTCCAGCTTTTAGATCAATATTGTTAACTTATATTGATTTTTTCATTTTCAACTGAATTTCTTAAGTAATGCATTATTGATGGTTTTTAATGCACTTGTGGTACTTAATCTGTCATTAATTTGTGAATCACCTTTGAAGGATGAAGAATTCCAAATCTCCTATGGCAGTGGATCTCTCAATGCAGATGGAACCACACAGGATGAGGACACCGAAGGGATGGGCATGCAGGAACAAGGAGATGAAGACGACATCACTGAGGAACGACAAGTGTACGACACAGAGGTATGCTGAGACTCCATGTTCTGAGTGGTGGCATTTATTTCTGAATCAGCAGGTAGAATTTACATTTAGTCTTTTATTGTTTTTCTTTGACACATTCAGATGTAACTATTACATTTAGACAGGACCGGGGGGAACAATCATGGTGTTCGAATTTATCTGGCAAATGATTTTGTTTTGGACAGAAGACTGAAAACGATACTCTACCTGATGACGAAGCAAAAGAGGAATCAAATGAAGAGGAAGAGGAAGATGAAGAATCTGGTCGAATACGGTTCAAATCTGAGAGGACGGATGGTGCTATTGTGCGGTTGGCAGATGCAGGCAATAAAAGGAGAAACATCCCTGAAACCCTGGGTATGAAGTCTGAATGTGAAGACGTTATCATTAAGGATCAAAACAAATGTTTGCTCAAGTAGTTTGTGATGCTTCAAAGTTTCCTAAAATATCAATTCTGATAACGATTAGCCAGTTTGTAATTTTTCCAAAGCTTTTCCAGACACTTCATGCTCTCTCTTTCCTGGTCCACATGTCTTTAGAACTGTCAGAGAAGGCCAAGAAAGATTTGATGGAGTTTGAGGAGCAAGAACGACAGAAGAGACAAAACCGTTATGGAGGCAGAGGCAGAGGAGCAGCGAGAGGAGGGAGAGGAAGAGGAGGTTTCGCTGGGTATGGAATGGCAGATTTTGGTGGAGGAAAGAGAGGAAGAATGCACAACCAGATGCCCCCACTGATGGGAAACATGAACATGCAGGTAAACTACTGTGCAGTCATTAGCCTTATTATCTATATGGGGATCATGTGTGTCAGTGTTGAATTACAGAAGAAAACGTCAGGATTGGAGAAAAGAAAACGTCATGCCAAATTTCTGTTTTATACTTTCTTTAGATTTAATTATTTTACCACCAGCTTTCATAAATCATAGCTTTTATTTACACCTCTTAATACTGTTGAAATGCCACACAGTATGACTTCTTAAGACTTGATTATAACATTTTCACTTTCGAGCACGCAGAGTATCAACTTTGTTTGTATTCTTTAAATTTGTAGCCCAAGGCCACAGGTAACGAGGCAAACTATCAACTGAGTGTTTTTTCCAGTCGCCCACAGCTGGAGAGAACCCCTTGGGTTAAAGTAGTTCTTCTCAAGGCCGCATGACATTTAACTGCAGCTCTGGTTTATTTTTGGTTGCATTAATTAGAGATAATAGGCTGTAAAATTCAAAACAAAACTCTTAACATTGAAACTGAAAATTTAATGGCATATGGATGACTGTCCAGCACCACAAACACTCAGTTTATTGCAGATAATGAGTGCGTGCTTTTTGCAACGCACCGTGTTTGTCAGGTTGCCCATTTGACTAATTTGGTCACTGCCAAGTTTGTTTGTTTGGCTAATTACCAGGGACCGATTTGAGATAGACTCACTTCAGAACAACTTCGATGCACCAGCATTTTTTAGGGTGACTGTTTGATGCGGAAACAACAAAAGCAATGTGTAACTGTTCATGCTTTGATTGTTTTCCTCTCTGTAGATGTAGAGCGTAATCTTTGTTTTGTTTTGTGTTTCACGTAAGCCACAGTAGCTTAGCTTAGCTTAGCGATTATTCCAAATGCATATGTTTGCGATAGTTATTTTTGAAGTTGGCTCTAATTTCTATGTTGATTTACAAAAACAACCCTTTTTCACTATTTTCCATTTTGCAGTTAAATAGAATTATTTTTTAACGGCTTCAAGTGGTGGTTTCAGAAACATCCTTCAAAAAATGTGTATTTGACAAGTGCTTATCTCCCCCCTCCTGAATTGAATAGCCATCCTCCCGAATGCCGCCTCCACATCAGCAGCAGTCCCATCAGCACCACCCTTCACGTACAAGAGGGCTTCCTCCCTTCCAGGAGCATGGGCGTCCCATTTCCCAGCCCCTCATTCCCTCTCACATGGCTCATCGCTCTCCACCACTGCGACCCCAGATGGATCCCTCACCCCGAATGATGAGCCCACCACCACCTAACTTTCCGCAGCATCACCAGCAGCAGCCCATGCAGCAGCCCATGCAGCCCAAAAATATCCACATTAACCCCCACTTCAGAGGACCTGCACATTCCTCTGTACAAGGTAGGCCAGTCCTGCATCAATACAGTGCTTGTCTTTAGCTTTTTTTAATTGACTTTCATTAGAAAATAAGTCTCACTTTCATACTTGGATTAATTGTTTAATCTTCAAATATGTTTTAATAGTATTAATCTTTTCTGAAGTTAAAGTGAGTACACCCGTTACAGTCACACCCTCTGTGCTCACATGAGAAACATACCAAAACAAAAATTGATTGCTTTCGTTTTGGAAAAAAAAGTATCTTCACAATACTCATTACCACTCACCAAAATAGTGGACTGGTACTTTCTGACAGGTGCTGCAAAGTTCTTTTAGGGTTTTTATCCAATTTCTCTTCACCATTTCATTCTGCTAGAGAGGTTATTTGTCCTTGTCAATATGGAATTTCTGTATGTGGGTGTGGGTGTTTAGTTTTACTCAGAGAAAAATGTGTTCAGGAAGATCAGGAGTGCCTTTGGTTAGGAGTGTTGGTGTGCGTTCATGCATACAGTTGTGCATCTGTCTCGTTTATTTACACATATTCATTTGTGGGAGTCGAGTTGAATGTTTACCAGTTGCTGCTGACACAGTCTCAGTTTGCCTTGTTATTATTCAGAAAGCCAGCAATATGAAAATCACCTGGATTAAATTGCATTGTGTCAAATGTTGTGCAACAGCAGATGTCTTTTTCGTTTTCAACAAATTATTCTCAAGCATTTATTATTCCCTTGTGCTCCCTCGTCTGTACCTTGCAGTGTAGAAATGTAATAGCAACTCTGAGCTGAAATTGAACATGTATGTCTAACTAAGAGCCTTCAGCTTGGAGATATCTCTTCCTCTACAATCACACCCTCTCTGTGCCTGCTGCCTCTCATTTGGATTTTTCTCCCCTCTCCCCTCCCCCTTCTTTCTTTTGCTCTGTGTTTCTGCCCCTCTCTCTCATTGCAGTGCCCTTGATGCCTCCTGCTCAGAGCCAGCCCAGACCTGCTGTGGGTCCTCAGAGGTTCCCTGTGAGTAGCAGCTGCTCCTCTACCTCCCTTTTCCTTCACTTTCTCTCATTCCTAACACAGTCAGTGTCCCATTTAAAAAAAAAATATATATATATATATATATATATATATATATAAATAAATAAATACTAAGAGGGCAGTATCATTACTTCAGTGTCTGCTCTGGCCAAATGCTGTAAAAGCAAATCTGTAAACACTGATATGAGGCTGGCCACACAACTGGAATTGCGTGATAGAAGCTTTAGGCAGCAGAGTTTTGGCGGCTCGGGCTGCAGCGGCGGGGCTAGCTTAGGAAATCTTCATGGATGGTCTGGGGCTCAGACTAGCCAGCTTGGCACATAATGGAATTGTGAATACAGGATATACTGCCACTTAAAATTCACTTTCATGTAATATATATGGCTACCTTTAAAATAATTTCTGTATTGACGGAACTGAAAATTAGAAACTAAGTATGTTAAGTTGCTCTATTCTTCTTGATAACATTTTTTGGGAATCAGGTGTTTGTGGTACTGACTGACATCTTTCTGGAAAGTGCATTTTTAATGGATTTATGCAAATTAGCTGTCAGAAAATAGCTGCATCCAATTGCATTCATGGGGATGTACCAGTGAGCCAGACTCTTTCTCCACAGTTAGTCTTTATAAAGACATACCGATTTTTCCAACAAGAATTTTCCGTATCACACTCTTCCTGTTACCTGAACTATGCAATCAAGCTGGATCGTGCTGAATAGTTATGCATGGTTGCAAGAAGCATGCTTGGCTCTTATCAGACAGTGAGAAGGGGGAGTGGAAAGGGCTTGCAGACAACAGGGCTGGTGAGCAGCACAGCGTTGGACTCCCCAGCTGTCAGTCACATTTAGGCTGGTCTTGCCAAGGACACAATTTGAAATGCAGGTGACATACCAGCCGTCAGCTTCCCATTTATCAGTGGGCACCTGATTACTGATGATTATCATACATTATCATCCCATCAAATTTAATTGTTTAAAGGCCAGGCGAATGGGGGTCATAGCCCCTAGTATTACTGCATTACATTTTTTCCGGTGGAGACTGCTTTTGAAATATTAATTTCAACATCAATTAAAGTCATTATCTCTACTATTTATTCTGGTCACGGCATTTTTTTTCCAACACAAAAAAATTGTCTGATTGTTGGGATTATTATATTATAGTAATCAAGTGCCCACTGATAAGTGGGGAGCAAACTGTTAAACAAAAAAGGCCCTTTTTTAAGGAATTGCCAAAGTCAATGGCTCTCCTGTATTTATTATATTTGTTTTCCTGAAAGGTAGCTAAAATCAGCTTTGAAGACTCTGCCAAATGATGCTACAGCTTAAAAATGATCCAATTAACCTCCATGACGATCTGTTGGATATGCAATGTTGGCTTTTTGCCGGTAGTGACCTGCAGTGCTGGTGTCACCTAAAGCCTTTGGACAGAGAAGGGGCTCACTGAAGCAATGTGTGAGGAACCGTTAATGAGGCAAGACAGTCGTAGTATGTGTCAAGGCTAAAAAGATATCAGGGCCAACCCTCTTATATTCTCACTGTCCTGCTTTGTAGGGATTGTTTGCAATGGGTCTCAGTTGCATTTATTATTTAATTGATTGATTTACTATACTTCATCATTGTTGACTAGACAAAAGTATCTTGATGTGAGGAGAAAATAAATATTTCCCTATCTCAGCACGTTTGCTTCTTATGATGATGCCTCACTAAGTTCTAAAAGCAGTCATTGTGAGATCTTTTTGTTACACAAGTGCATGTGGCAGGATAAGTCCGTACGCACAACATAAAATTATGCATGTATAAGATATATATATATATATATATATATATATAAAACAGTTAATTTTGTTTGAAATCTTGCTAGATGCACTTACAAGGGTCAAAGTTTTGTCCAAATCCTAAAAAGATTAAGTCTAAAATAGATTAACAAAACGTAAAAATATTACAATTTAATTTATCAAATCACTTTAATAAATGAAACTTGTTTAATCAGATTTAGTGGAATTTACATTTGACAGTTTCCTCTTTTCCACCGACTTTAGAATTCTGTTTGATTCCTACATTTATGAACCTCTTATAATCAATTTTTTTGCTCCTCATTAAAAAAAAAGAACTTAATTGCATTTTCGATCTTTAATTCTGGGCTCCTCATTATTGCTCTCAAAGCTTCGAATATGGGATCAGCGCTCTAGTTTGTACTGGCTCAGGTGTTGCTGTGAAATCCAGAAACAAAACACTTTTTAAGGCACACATTTTCCTTCTTTATCAAGCACTTTAACATCTGGGCCTGTACCATTTTGTTTTCTAAGCCGCCACTGCATCAATTACATATTAAGTAGCCGCCACTCTGTTTTATCAAGGATTAGAAGTTAGAGGATGAGCTGTGTTATTTGAGAGGTATTATATGGACACTGGAGTCCTCATTGTGTAAACCTTGCTGCCTGACCTTTCAGAACGGTGTGATTGTGCCCCCATTGTGATCCGCCGTCTATGTAAGCCTCTTTGATTAACTTTATGTTAAGCAAGTTTTTGGGACTTTGGCCTTCTAGCTTTCCTAACACCTCTTCTCTCTAAATACCTCAACATAGCGGTGAAATAAAGATGGATTAAGCCTGATAGCATCTTTAGTAATTTACAATAGGCTTGAAGGAGGCAAGCAGCCCATTTGTGGAAGTGCCACGTGTTGAATAGCAGGTTAATTTTGCAATAGAGGTGGCTGTTTAATAGAATAAAGGAGACAGTTATGCAGGGATTTAAATTCCAAAGAGGGATTAAATGGTTATCTTTTTTTTTTAGGTACATGGATTGAGAATAAAGTGCAGGTGATGTAAAGCTGTCCAACAGATGAAGTGGTTGAAACAAAGATGAGGGCACTCATCCCCTCCTGAAATTCTCTTTCCTTGTTAGAGATAGGCGTTTAGAAGGTTTTATCTACAGAGCCTTAAGTAGCACTAATGCAGGTTTGCTCATGAATTCATGTTAAAGGATGTCTTTGATATTGGCATGCATATTGATGTTTACAACTTGAGATTCTACATCTATTTAATGACCCCCGCACTTCAATTACAAGTGCTCACAGCTCAGTGAAATACATCACAAATTCCCATTTTTTCATCAGTTTAACTTTCTCCTGATTATTGAGTTTCCAAAGTGGCTTATAATTTATGAGTTTTGTGCTTTCTCAGGGGCCAGGAGACTTCCAGCCGCACATGCAAGGTAATTTTGGTCAGCCTCAGCGGCCTCCTCATCACATGGAACCTTTGAGGAACCAGCCACTTCAAGGCCCCCAGGATAGAGAGGCCCTGTTTATGGGAGGTGAGTCTCAAATTCAGCCTTGACAAGGGTTACGAAGCACTCTTAGCATATTTAACCCTATTCATCACCTCTAGCGCTATACCTAGAGGGTATGCTGCTAGCTCTGTGGTGCCGCTCTATTAGCAGAACTCATGTTATATGCATGGGTGTATATATACATCTGAATGAACCTCGAAAATGGCATTAAACATACATATTTATGAATCCTCATTCATTTTGTTGATGCAAAATTAATAACATGCCTGGTTGTTTACCCACTCACCTTGATAAAGTTGTCTTCTTTAGTTTCCTGTGCCATAGCTGTATACATTTGGTCTTAAAGGTGCTAAAGTTGGTGCTTAAGGGGAAAAAATCTGACGTGTGTACTGTGCTGTTATTTGGTCAGAGTGTGCCGATTCAGCACGCTTTCCTGGGCAGCACATGTTTGATCACCAGGGCCCGGGCCCTATGATGAACAGCAGCAACAGCCTCCACCAGCAGCAGCTGTCCGGCCAGGGCCATATGGGCTTCGGCCCACCAGGACCACCCTTCAACCAGCCTGGCCAGGGCCCACTAGGACTTTTTCAGAGAGAACCCCCAAGACCCAACCTCCCTCCCCACCAAGGCCACCAGGGGATGGTGAATTTGAATCAACAAGGTGGCCCCCCCAACCAGCCCAGGCCTTTCATGGGCCCTCGTCAGCCATTTAGCCAGCAAGGGAACCTTTTCCCCCCTCCACAAGTTCAGTATGGGATGCAGGTACGACTAAGAGTAAGTGATTTTCTTGACTAGTACTTGTTTGTGTTGCTTTGTCATCTGACTATGCTTGTATTATTCTTGCTTAATTATCCCTTGGTTTTAATAGATGAATACGGATGTTTGATGTGAGGAGTTGTCATATTCACAGCTACTGAAGTGTTGATTAGAAAGTCACATTCATTTGGCACCCCTGCGCTTTTTAGGAGACAGAGACAAGAGCTCCCTCTAGTGACAGACTCACTGTTTTAGTACAGCGTCTATGTAGACACACAGGGAAAATGGTTAGGGGGTTAGTCATCAGGGATTGTCCAGCCTCATGCTTTAGTAGCGTTCATGAAAAAAGCCTTTCTGGTGTCTTGCTAAAAATGAAAATTGGACATGTACATTCAGTTTTTTTCTCTGATATCACAGGGCTTAATGCACGGCCCCCCTGCCTCTCAGCTTCCACATCACGACCCACTGTCATCCCATCCCATGCATCAGCAGCAGCACCATAGGCAAGAGTTACCCCATCATCATCAGCAGCAACAGATAAATCTCAGTGAACCTCGCCCCATGATGCACCATGGTCAGAATCCTTTCCATCAACAGCAGGCGCATGGTAGCCCCAGGCAGATGACTCCCCGCCCTCAGAACCCTCAACTGCGCAACATGTCAAACAGGCAGAGAATGGTGAGTAATTAACATATTAGCACATCAAATTTCCACTTAAACTGATGTCCTGTTGGTTTTCGGTTTTGCCATTCTGCCATTTTAAATTCCATCCATATTTCTGTTGTTGTGTTTTCTCAGTTTAAATAAAGGAACACAGCTACACATTCATTAAAATCTTAATGATGATAAATCAAGAGTAAGTGTTGTTTTTTTTCCACTCGACAGAACACACCAGTCACCAAACAAATGCAGCAGCGCAACAGCAACCTTCGGGAGCTCCCTGTAGCACCTGGTAACACAAACAGCGCCCGCCCAACCCCAACCACCCCCGCTGCCAACATCAAGCCTGTTGCCAAGACAACACAGGGGATGCGTCCTGGGCAGAGCATGCAGCCGATGTCTGGTGGTGGCAGAGGAAGAGGCCAGCCTGGGGGAGCAGGCAGGACGGTGGTTCCCAAAGAGGTCCCATGCACACCCCCCAGCATGGCACCACAGGTCAGAAATCAGAGTATTTTTCCCTCCCAGGGCAACGGAGAAAAAAAAACCAGAATACTTGAGACTATTTTTCACAAATATATTTTATGAATATTTCTAGGGGTAGTAATGGATGTCGATAATGTGATTTTAAAAAAAAAAAGAAAGAAAGAAAGAAAGCCATATAAGAACATTTTTCTCTCTTGATATAAACGAGATATATTAGATTTTGGTTTTTTATTTACTTTTAATGTGACCTGAGGGCAGACCTAATTTGAATAGGACTCAGTTTGGAGGCGTTGTCAGTTGTTTTTTTCAGTTTGTATTTTGTGCCTCAGGACCCCAATGAAGATGAGGAGACGAGGCAGTATCGTCTAAAGATTGAGGAACAGAAGCGTCTTAGAGAAGAGATTCTAAAGAGGAAAGAGCTGCGACGACAGATGCAGGCTGGTGTCAGAAAGAAAGAGCTGCTGGAAAGGCTCAATGCTCAGACAAACACGCCCGGCCAAGGCCCGACTGCTGCCCCGCCTCCACCAGTACAGCCGAATCAGCAAACACAACAACCTGCACAGGAGGCACCGCCACAGCTAGAACCAAAACGGCAGCAGCAGCAGACACAACAGCAGAGACAGTTTCCTCTGAGAACGCAACCATCTTTAAATCACACTTTGCAGACTCCGAATCAAGGCAATAGCATACCTGCTGGCAGCGCAGCACAGACTCAAAATCCTCGTCCCAATGTCCAAACACGGATGCAGATGGTACAAGGCACACAGCAGCAGCAGCAGACCACCGGCCCTTTTCCTGAGCAGCAGTGGAAGCAGCCTCAACAGAACCCGCAGCAGCGACAGAACAGCGCTCTGCAGAGTGTCAACAGACCCGGCACCCAGGCTCAGAATGCGCAGGCTCCTCAAAAGAACATTCATACGACTCCTTTAGCGGGCCAAGGCCCAGCTCAGACTCAAGGACTTAAACCTGGAGCTAAAAGAACTGTGATGCAGCGAGCCAAGAACTCGAGCGGAGAAGGCCAGCAGGTTCCCCAAAAAGTCAGAGTCGTCAAAATTTCAGGACTGGTGAGCATAAGATCCAATTTTTATCTGACACCTTCTCTTGTGCTCTGTTCTGACATTTATTTGATCCTCCTCTTCAGGTTTTACCCACAAGGGAAACTTTCTAGCTTTCAAAGGAAATGCCACTGATCCCCCCCTCCTGTCTATTTTGTAATCTAGATGATATCTAACCTATGGGAATGACACGGTGATGTCTGTGTCATTTTGGCAAAATTGATCTGTTAAGAGTTTCCACAGATAAGCTTTGGGAACTGATATTTAAGTCGCAATGTCTTCACGTACTTTTTACTTTTATAACAAAGAGAGGCTGGAGGCTTCACAGACAGCACCTTGACATTTATCTGTAGAGTTGAGGACGCCTCGTCACTATTCTTAAAGGTTGATATCCTCTTTTCAGGACAGATGAGCATCCCCTTAAAGATAGAAGGTAAAATAAGGATGATAGTGACCTCAATAGTCCAGAATTACCACAACAGCTGTTTCACTAAGTTACAGCTTTGTGCTTGATTGCACATTAATCTTTATTGAAAAACTACAAAGGCATTTGTGTTAAACATTAATACTTGTCACTAATGAAACATGTTGGCGGAATTTGATACCATTTGAAATAAGCTGCTTTCCAACTTCGTCCCAGAGGATCAAGCCACTGCACCAGAACCACAGACTGGCTGCAGATAACAATAACTGGGAGTCAGTGTGTTAAATGGCAACCTGTGCAGAAGTGTTTGATTGAATGCATCTTGGAGGGAAAAACGTGGAGTTGGATTTTAAAGTGAAGCGAAAGAGTTGGAAACGGAAAGAAACAGCCAGGGCACAGAGCCGCGACAAAAAGAAGATTCTGTCTTCCTCATTGTTCTATTGTCGTAAACAAGAGCTTGACGATGTTATCTCCTCTCTTATTTTTCTACCTCTTTCCCGCTTCCTCTCCGTCATCCCTCAGTAGCTTTTTCCATCGAACCATCTCTCATGTGCAAAGCAACAAAAGATGCCAATCCAAGACCCTTGTAATTAATCTTTCTTGGTTGGAGGTGGTGTAACATAATACCTGTGTAAGAAAGTTGCCACTTTTGAGGATTTGGATTTGTTTAGCTTAGGCACACTGATAAGGGGCAAATTATATTTTCATCAGGGATGATACAAAGCAGTGCAGAACACAATAGGGTTGGTGAAAGGGTGTGTGTGAAGGGGTGTACACACACACATCGAGCGTGTGTCGTTTCAGTGTAATGCAGCTTAGCATTTGATGGGTGCAATCAGGAGCTGTGATTTCTATAGAAGGGATTAATCCATTTACTCTCAACTGGGGACAGGTCAGAGATAGCGCCTCTTTTCTTCCCATGTATTGATCTGTCACATCTTTCTGCCGAGTCGGGAAAGAGACGACCTTCAATTCCTCCCTGCATGTCAACAGAGTTGAGCTGTGACTTTATTTGATAAAATGAGACCATCACCTTGTTCTGTTGATCTTTATTCTCTCTTGCCTCTGATAAAAATCCAGTTGTAGTGCTTGCAGATTTTCAGTTTGCTTTGTGCAAAGTTTTGTATATCTCCTGGTCGTCTACAAACAAATGATACCTAAATGATTAATATGAACATGACTTTATGATGCTTGCCAAGTGAGAAAAAGATACTGGTATATCTTTTTCTATATATAATAGCATTGTTTTCCAATTTTCCCTTTCAGAGTGGAAAGGGGCCCGAGGCCACCAGCAGCCCAGTGCAGCAGCAAGGTGACTGGCAATCATCTCCACTCAACCAGAGTGTTCAAAGGAAGGTTACAATGATGGGACAGCAGCAAGAAACACCAGGTGGAACACCACATGCGAGCCGTGGTGGAATGGGGAACCCACAGCAAAGCAGGGTAAGAAACGTCTTTGTTAGCTTTTACACCAAAACATGTGTATTTGTTTCCCTCTTTCTCTTAGGTAGTTTGTTCACCACTAATGCCTTTGGCAGATATAAAATAGTAACATAATTGGGGCTCAGTCCACAGAATTGAACTACCTTCCATGAAGGAAGTCTCTGAGTTAAGATCAGCATTAAATTAGAACACAATTCTTCAATGGTTTGGACATAGTTTTTCCTTAAATTTGGTTGGTCTGTGTCAGTGCCCAGGCAAATGTATGAGACACTGGTAAACATGTTTCATCAAGGGATGAGTGAATGTGCACATCCTAGTGTTATGTTCCAAAAAAAAAGGCAATAGGAACCAGGGCTGGTAGGAGCCTCCACTACCGCTGGGTTATTTGGCACAAGACCAAATGCCGTGTGAACACTTTCACTATGCTCAAAGGTCAGCGATGGTTACAGGTGTTTTGATCAATGTGTTACATGGCATCTGTTTTGTAAAAGAAGCCGAAAATGTCTCCTGTAAAGTTGCTGACCCTGGCATTCAGTCGATGTAGTTGCAGCTAGATGGGACAGTGGGCCAGGTGCAGGCGTATTGACAAGCTGAAAACAGTGTAACACGTGGGTAACACAAGGTCCCCTGGCCTCTGCATGCCTGTCACCACAAAGCTCCTGTCACTGATACTATACTCACTGATGCTGACAGAGTAAGGCAGTCACCATCGCCTGCATGGCTCCTCTCCCTTTATGCTCCCCCACCCCCAACACACATAACCATATTCCCACTACATCCTCTTCTCGGCTTTCAATGTCTCCCTCCTCCTTTTTCTCTGCGGCTGGGGGAGCATACCTCTCACTCACTAGCTCGTATGAAGATATGTCATGTGACGTGCATCATCTTCTGACACTGACATTCTGTGTATAAAAAATGATGAGTCAATCATGTGGAAGTCTGACTGGAAGATGCACAGCTCCTTTAAACCTGCCTTTGTGCTAAAAAGCCTCTATGTACGGTTGAAGGTGTCAGCATCCCCATTTAATTAGGAAAAGGTTCAGCCTCTTCTTTTTTTCTTTCACTATGACGTGTTTATCACATTCTATCTTCATATGGGGGATTTCTCTCACACCTGCTCCTGCTCTAGGTCATTGTGTCAGGCCGGGGCAGAGGAAGAGGAGCTGCTCAGATGGGTCGAGGTCGTCCAGTCGCCACCAGACAAAGCCTCAGAGGTCCTGAGAACCCGTGCTGCACTGTGTCCATCGAGGGCCTCTCCTCATCTACAACTGAATTACAGCTGAAGAACCTTCTCAGGTCCATCGGCCCCATAGAGGTAGAAGCCTAAATACAGGACCCCCGCATTGCATATATGTATATATATGTGTGTGTGTGTGTGTGTGTGTGTGTGTGTGTGTGGGTGTGTATATGATTTTATTTCCACATGCTTTAGCCTTTTAACTGTTTGAGAAATCTACCTTTTCTTCAACGGAATCCTTGCCTGTCACTCAACTGAAAATTATGCTTTATTTATTCAAGCCTCTCTCCTCTGGCTGAAAAATGAATATTTACTTGCACTCAGCATAGAAATAATGTCGCTTTCCTGTTTCTAATATCATAGCGCCCTCTGTTGAGGGAATCTGGTAGTTTATCCAGAACAACTGATTATTCCATTTGTCCTCACCACCCCCACTCCCTCTTGTGGATGACTGAGTATCCATTGGCTTTGATTTCGCTCTCTCTGTCTTTGTCTGCCGCAGATGTTCAAAATGCTACCCCAACAGAGGAAAGCAGTTGCCACATTTTCCAACCCTCAACATGCAGCAAGTTTCCAAATAAGCTTCCATAGGTAATCCTCATTTCTGCTTCTCGTACTGATGACAGTTAATTGATTACACTCCATGTGAAACAATACTGTTTTGATGATGAAGTGCCTTTAAGATATTAGCTGTTGTCCAGTGTTGGAAACATTAGTATTTTAGGCCCAAAGTACTTAAAGCGTCTTCATCACAATTCCCACTTAGGCACATGATTGATTTGTCCCACATTGACGTGTCACTGATTGACGGATGAGGAGCACATCAGAGCCGGGGAAGAAGTTTGTTTCAAGAAGTCGCCTTCTTCTGATGTGGGAGTCTCTCGTGCACGACTCCACCTTCTTGTAGAATTATCACTTCGCCTCTTTGGGGTTGATGGACGCGTCGGTACAGAGCTCATCGTTCGTCCCCCACCACCTCGGACCAGTGACCACAGGAACACAGACATTGGCCACGAGCATGCATGTGTTTGACTTAGCTGACCAGGTGGCTGTAGTTGTAAAATGGCACTGAAAAGACACTGGACCCTCCTTTGGTGTAGTTTGTAAATGGGTTTTTTTCTTTAATTTTTTTCTTCTTTTTTATTTTTTGGCATTTAATTTTTTTTGCATCTTACACAGACACTTAAGTAGAGCTTATCATGGTATAATGGTTGCTCCCCTCTTCAGTGGCTCAGTAAAACCCGCCGTCGGTCTGTCCACGCTGGTTCTTTCTTGGCAGTGCTTCTCCAGCTCTGTAGATGGCAGCATTTTACCACTAAAGGTGTGCTTTAGAATTTCAGCCAAAGCCTTTCAGGAGGCTCTATGTCTGTTGTTGGGTCAGTGGCACTACCTAGTGGAGATGTTGCTTTCAGGCTAATGCGTGTCCTGTGTGTGACTGAACATGCAACCGCAGCAACGGCCGCTCCGCTGCAGGAAGCATAGGACGCTTTTTTTAAATTCAAAATTCCCGGTAGTTTGTTGAGGTTCATTAAAGCCGAGCAAAATTAAGGTTCTACCAAATGTTGGTGCGTCTCCTTGGACTGAATCTATTTGGTCTTCCGCTGTTCATCTTTGTTCTGAATATTTTTGGTCTTTTAACAGTTTTTGCTCTTTTAGTTGTATGTCTGATTATGGAGAAGCCCGATTTTACGTTTCAGGTCTTTGCTCAGTGTCATGTGATCCAGTCTTCTCTAGAGATTTATTTGATGAATACCATAACTTGCTAAAACATTGCTGAGAAATTTAGTATTGGGTCAGAAAGAATTTCTGCCTACTCGTAGGAAGATAAAGGTTCTGCTCAGACATTCCTTGCTCATCCTTGGAATCGGAAAAATTTGACCCAAATTTCCGAGACATAAGCTGATAGTTTGGTGCCTTATAACTGAGCTGGTAAGTGTAAAAAAAGCACTTAGCAACATTTTCATTGGGTATTTGATTGTAACTAAATGAAGAAAAGTAATTGGGTAGAAAACTGACGTTTCTCATGTTAAACTACATATAATTTTGCATAGTCAGCTTGAGAGATTTAGCGGCTTCACTCATCCATGACCTGTTATGTCAGTTTATTTTTATTTCCCCGAGCATTTGCAGATGTTTTTGGACCTCTTTATGGATGAAAACCTTCTGTTTCCCCAAATTCAATTTGATTGATCATTTTCATTTTTAAAAATCTAGCATCAGTCAGGCTCCCTTTGCATGTTTTCTTTCACCTTTCTTTCGAGTTCATCTTGGAAAGTTTAATTTATTCTCGGTTTATAACTTGCTAATCTGAAAATGACAAAGTTTGTCTGCGTTGCTAATAAGGGAATTGTACACTACTCAGGATCTGGTGTGAGAATCTGGGGGGGGGCGACCATTATCTATGTAGCAATCATGTACATACGTAGGTCAGAGATTTCACTCAGTATCTTCCCTGATGTTTTTTTTTCTTTCTTGTGTTATTCATGTTGTATCAAGTTAAACCTTTTTATATGTAAGGATATACGCTGACGTGTCCAGACGTAAACCTTTTTACCATTGGTTTGGTTCGGTTTTAGAGCCAAAACAAGAAATGACTGGAAAACCTTTCTGTTTATAAGACATTTGGAAAAAAGCAAACGTTTAAGACAACACAAGAAAATAATAAAAACTTGGCCAATATACCGTGAACATGCAGGTATGTGAAGCCGGTTCAACTTTAGCCCAAAGGTGTGTGGTTGTGTGTGATGTCCATGTGTCTGGTGCCTTTATGATGACCTTTATCTTTATCATTTGTATTTCATGGAACCTGGAAGTTAGTGGGTATACACTTTGCATTATTTAATATGTTGACTTTTTATTAGTAAGTAACTACCTCAGGATTAATGTACTTTTTAAACTAAATATATTTATATTTTTATAGTTTTAGTCATAGAAATAATATGACAGGAAATGCTACCTCCTAACTGAAGGGGAATGTCACTGAATTTTGGCCTGAGTTCCTCTGGCGTCAGTGAGAAATGACAGGCATTTTGGCCCACAAATTTGAACTGTGATGGCAACCTCATGTGCAGCTCTCATGAAAGACCAAGGCTCCTGCAACGGTTTTTTAAAGTTACACACCACTGGGATCATGTTTGGGAGCTACAGCTGAGAACCATGTTAAAAGAAACCAGCTGGATAACTTTCCAAACCTTTCCATTTTGCTCTCATAAAATCGGCCTCTTGCTGCTCATCTGGATGACATCACATACCGGGGTCCTAATTTTGACTATTGAAATCAAAGTGCTGATGTTGACTTCTACTTGTCTCCCTGCTGCCCTGCGTGTGTGAAACACACCTAAGTTTAGTGGTATTTCCCTTAAATGCACCATAATTTAAAACGAGTCCACAAAGTTTAAAAGCAGAAGTTGCACAAAGGGGAATCTTACCAGTGAAGTCCCAACATTCTCAGGGAGCCTCTGAGTGGCAGGGTGCAAAGAAACCCCCCAAAACCAAACGCACCCTTTTTGTGAAACCTGAGGTTGAGTGTGGCCTAAAGTTTCTCTATTTTTTTGTATGTTGCACAGTTGTCTAAACTGACTTCTTTATGTTTTCTTCCCTCTGTTTTGAGTTGTTGAGCTGTTGTCTATTTCTTTATTGACATTGTGTATTCACTGTGTTTTGATGTTGTGTGCGACTCTCGAGGTTGTGATTTGGTAAATCCTGTGGATTTGATCCAGTATGGGCAATGCCTGTCCTAGTGACAGAGTTATGAGACACCGTGTCTTGTAATGACAGAACAGATTCATGTTGAATCTCCTGGTACTCACTGTGTTGAAGTCTTGTTAGAATAACGTGCTGCCGCACACCACCTCAGTTACCCTGTTAGGTCCCAGATGACCCGTCTGTCTGTCTGTGTGTCAGAAAGATATCAGGGCGATTTTGTGCTCCTCATCCTGGCCGCAGATGACGGATAACACTACGTTTACATTACCTGAAGCTCAAAGCTCCGTCAGGGTTGGTTTATGTAACGCTAACAACTTTTTTTCTTCACCAGGTCCATTTGCCGATTAAAGGACTCGGTGGTGTTGCTGCTTGGCTGGAATAAAATGTTAATGTTCTTCTTTTTTGCAGGTCAAAGAAGCAGGGACTGCTATAACGGTTATTCCACCACTGTTTACCATGTTTATTAGCTAAAGGTTCCCTTACCATTTCATCGGGATTTAGCTGACCAATAGCAAATGGTTGAAATCAGGCAACAATCTTAGGTGGAGCTAAAGGAAGCTCGCTCCTTTTTATCTACCACCTAATTACGCAAAGACCAAAGCTGAGTCTTGCCCAGTTTGGGGCTGGTTTACACTAGGCAGGGGTGAAGGATGAGCCTAGTTCAAGCCGAGCTTCTGATATCATTAATGCACTTGCTTTGTTTGTTTACAACCAGAAGTTCTGCTCAACTTTTTGAGGAGCCACATTTGTGTGTCTCCTTTTCCTCCTTAACCTTCATTTAGAGTCATTTCTAGCAAAAAGAATGCAGAAAAGACGTTGGCGCTGAAGTCCTAAAAGTAGATATCTGCAGGAAACATGAGGGTTTACAATAAGTTAGAAAAACAGATGGATAAGGGTGTTATTAGCACAGACGTTTAGCTTTGATGCTGCTGTTTTTAGTCGAATAAACCCACCTGGTGTTCCCAGGTGTCGCTACATCACCGCAGCAGGGCGGTGCCGGGGATTAACTCTTTTTTTTTCATCAGAAACCCGCTGGAGGAAGAGAAGCCGAGCTTAATCCTTGTCCCCTCTTCTGTCTTCTAAACATAATTTATTAGTTTTATTTCAGCCACGCGGTGTCCGGCCCCGGAGGAAGCTTTCACTCGAACTAAATTATCTTCCGTAGCAGAAGCTGCCTTCTCTCATCTTGCCGTGCATAAGTTTGACAGTTGCTCACCTTTTCCTCGATGATGATGATGCTGTTGTTAGATGAGCCTCTGTATGGAGCAGGGTGGCCTGCCGGGATTACCATTGTTTGTTAGCCCAGTGGATGGAAGTTTCCATCTCTGTGACGACAGCCGGGGGGTCACAGAGCAGACATAACTCTAAAAGCACCGACGTACATCCCAGCTTCTTGACAATCATTGTTTGGTCGGATTTTGAAAAAGGAAAAAAAAAAGACACTGCTGTTGCCTCCTGATGTCCAGTTGTGTGATGCACCAAATAATGACTGCAAAACCACCCTGTTGAGCTTTGACTCAAACTGCTGACCTAGCATCTTGTGTGTTTTGCTTTGATTCTGATGTCACATAAAATCAGTATTTGTGTGTCGCACTCTCACTGAAACAGTTGTGTAGTTTGTTGTGATGCTGTAAACTGAGATTTGTCTCCACCGATGTAAAAATCTGAAAGCATGACTGACAACACAAATGGCATGTATTGTATAAGACCAGAGAAATGGATGGAAAATAAACTTCTTTATGCACACAGCAACGTTTTTCTCGTCATGTGTTTAACTCTGGGCTGCCCCACTTTTGGGGGGGGGAAACCAGACCAGTCAAGATTTGCATTTTAAAAAAATGACTTTTTTAAAAGCATGTTCTTCTAAGTGCCATTCCACCTTTTCAGTGGGAAACAGATTTTTCAAAAATGCAGTTAAAAGGGCAAAAGGTAATTGAAAATAATTCAAATATGATCAAGTATTTCTCTGAAAACCATTATGCAAAAAGTGTCTGGGCTTTTTAAAGCCATGGTGAACTCACAGAATTGAATTATCCAATAACTAAACAACATTTTTTCTTTGTGTACATTAAACTTTTAAATTTCATTTGAGGACAGCTAATGTAGAAACTGGCTGAATGGTGAAAGAATAAGGACTACACAAACAAACGTTAATAAGGAAAGCTAGGAACAAATGCTCAGATCCAAGCAGATTTAGGACCAGTGTTCACCTTTGTTGTCTCGACCTATCTTTCAAAATTCAGCCATAATAAATATCCGTTATTGTGTTCTGAGCTTTATAGACTTGAATACAGAAGAGTGAGCCCTTTTCTGCCACACACAGCCGAATGCGTCCTGAGCTGAGCGGGCCTTGCCATTTGCAGATCTCTCTTAGAAACTGGCGAGTTTTGTTTTTCAGAATGCCAGACAGTTCGTGTTTGCAAATGTCAACATTTGTAAAAGCCGTTGTAGAGCTCCAGCAGACTGAGGGCCCCCGGAGGGATTAGAGGAGGCTCTGTTTACCTGCTCTGAGGAATGCTGGCCTGCTCGGACGCTTTTGTATCTGACAGGGACCCAAGGTCACAGCGCTGGGAGAGATGGGCTGCTTTGTCCCTCCCTGAAGTTTCCACCTCACAATATCAACAGCAAAACACAATGTGGGAGAAGAAAATGGAATTCCTGCTCGTGTTGCAACAGTTCTCAGAAACTCAGTGGCCCCTTTATACCTGTGGTAAGTCGAAGTTAAAGACGACTGTTTATCTTTTTGGGGTTTTCCTTATGGTAATTCTGAAGGATCTCTTTGTATGCGTTCTCATTCATATTTGAACTCATTGCGCTTCTCCCTGTTTTTAAATCACTGACAAAGTAAGAGGCACTACAACATTTGAAATCACCCAGTTTCCCAAATGACTCACTAATCCAGCTTTAGCTGACCCGTGGGGTTTGTTCTTCCTGTAGTTAGGCCAGTTTTTACATCAAGCGTCTTAAACTGCAGGTGTCCCGGAGCCTGTTCCTCCTGCAGTACCTCGGTTCGGCCACACGGTGTCGCACTCGCACCGAGTTACGGCAGCCGAGCTCTCCGGAGACTCCGACGTCATCATCATTTCTGACAAAGATGTGCCCTCAACAAGACAAACACCGCGCCAAAAGCTCACTATTAAGCACTAAACGTACACTATAAGTCTTTATGAAAATACTGGAGGATTATGGCGATTTGTTCAGCCTAGCAGAGCTGTGACTTGGACCACAGACTGTATTTGACCTGAAGCAGCAGACTCGGGGCCAACAAACGCACTCCTGTTTCATTTGTCTGCGAGTTGGACGCTATTTGCGGAGGGCAGACCTCGTTAAATTTGACATGGGGTCTCAACATTTCGCAAGCAGGCAAAAGGTAGTTCAAAGCGCCATATTGTCCACTTGGTGCACGCCAGCAAATAGGACGAAGCTGTTTGCTAGCCCCTGCCAGCAGGCCGAGCTAAACCAATTACCGTGTGAAACAGTCGCTTTATGTTAATGAGCCACCAGAAAAGCCACCAAAAAACTCCTCTGCGTGACCACACAGGCCTCTGGAGCCCAGGTCCACACATCAGCTCCATTCCACACCGTTCTGCCATCATTAGACTAATTGTAACTCTGTCATTTGGTCGAAAAAACGCCTCAGTGTTTTGTTTTCTGTGAAACCCACTTAGACAAAGACATGTAACAACTGCAAGTTTGAAGATTTTCTTTATCTCTTTTTGTAATAAACATATAAATAATAAACTCTAGACATTTGTTTGACACATTGCCCTGTTATGAAAGTTAACTGGTATGGTCTGGCTATATAGACTATCCAAACTGTGCATCTGCCGCAGGTCATTTCTATAGAAAACTATTTCCCTATTACAAAATATGAAAAGAAAAATAACATTTTAGTACATTTACAGGAGTTACTTATTCATTTATTTAACGAAACTGTTTCAGTACTACTTTAGCTGTTACTGAATTGTCAGAATCTGCATTTTGATATTTTTTCTCAGAAGAAAACAGAAAATAATACAAATACACACATCCACACGCAGAAAAAAAATCAAAGCAGAGAATGCAGACATGAGGCAGAATATCTGTCCCTCTCCGACAACTTAAACCAACAGTTTACAAAATAATAACATTCTTAATAAACCAAGCAGTACAAGATTTTTTTCCAATACTTTCCCAGCTACTGTATTTAAATTAAAATATATTCTCATATCTTACACTATTTCAAATAACGAAATGTGATTCGGTAGCGATCTGTCAAAATCTAATTTACAATTCTGTGTATAAAAATATAATTTATGGTACCCCGCGAAGTATGTTCTCCCCAAAATATAACAGTCAGTTGCACATATATGAACATATGAACATTACAGCCTGTCAAAGTTAGCTCCGGTCTACATGATCTTCTTTTTGCGGTTTCTTTTTTTCCTTTTTTATCTTTTTCTCTCATTTTTTTTCATTCTTTTTCTGTCTCTGAGATATACAAAAATAGATTATGCACAATGTGCTGCTCGCACCGTTTCAGAGTCCATTTATGTGACAGCAGCAGAGTTCACATGAGAATAAATTATTCAAAGAAAAACTTTTTAAGGCTCCATTCATTCTTTGAAAGGGGACACATCATGAAAAAGTCATTGAAATAAATATCCCAACTCCGCTGGGGCCGTTGTCTTGTTTGTTCATTTTTGTTTTCTTTCTTTCTTTTCTTTTTTTTGAAATCATTATCATTTTTATTACTTGACTTTTTTTTTTTTAACCTACGGAATAGTTCACGTGTCCTACATTTAAGTCTCGTTCTGCTCCTGTGGAGGTTTCAACTCGTGTATACTGACATCCCGAGTGGATGGATCGAGTGGCTGTCTAAGAGCCATGTCCCCAGTTGATAAAGGACTTTGGAGTACCAGTGCACTCCGTCGTTCTGTGCGCTGGCCTCGGGCTGAGAGCTGAAAAGGAACGAGGACACCCAGTGGGCGAGCCTGACGGGTGCCAGGGCCCAGTGCGCCAGGTCGTGGTCCTCTATCACTGCGTAACAGGACGCGAGGACCTGGTCCACCACCAGGGTCCCCTGCGCGGTCACCGGCGCAAAGGAGCCCTCGTGCTTCTGCTTGTAAATCCTTTTCACGGTCACGGGCTCCAGCAGCCTCCGCTCCGCTCCGACCACCAAAACCTTCTGTCCGGGCCTCACGTCGCTGGCGAAAACCGCAGACATCCGCTGCTCTGTGGAGTTGTCACGGTCGACGAATATGAGGTGCGCGGCGGTGAGGGTTACCGTCTGGCCCAGCTCGGTCTCTATCACGTAGAACACCCTCCTCGTGGTCGTGTCTCGGTCCAAAAAGGTGATGAAGTCGGTGTAGGTCGGGTTCCCCTGCGTGTCCGCGGCCAGGACTCTGTCGCCGGTCCGGAGGTCTCTGATCGCCTTCGTGGATCCGTCCTGGAGGCTGACGGTGGAGGAGCCCGGGAAGCACCCGCCGGACTTTGCGGCCACCGAGTTTTCTGTTGAAACAATAAACCGTGTTTAAGTTTTACTGTGGACAAACTTTCTGTGCAAAATCTCCTCAAAGAAACGCAGACCCGTGAGACACCCGAGATCATATATATTGTTTTTAACGACTTTAAACTGGTGTTTGGAGACTTTATATTTCAATACATTTTTTTAAACTGGTTGAGAAAATACTCCGTATTTCCCCCTTTTTCTTGACATCTTGGTATACCATATGCATTTTGCATATTGGTGCCCGTCGCCTCCTTCGTGCCAGATGCGTATTGGCTTGGCCCAAGTTGTCTGAGACGAGAAAAACCTGAAAGCCTCGGCTCATCTATTCTTAATTAAAAAACCCAATAAAGAGCAGGCATTGTTATTCTAAATCAGCCTGTGGATCGAGCTACTCTCGGTAAAGAACACTTACGCCTTTCCCAGCTACTCTTCCCATATTTACTCAGGTGCAGAAACCTCCATGTGACAATTCACACAAATAGGCGACTCACAACTACTATTTACCCAGTGGAGCCACTTTTCCAAGCCTCTCGAGTTGTAGATTTGAATTTAAATGAGGGCCGGGACTCTTAAATGCTTTCTGTTGTGCAACATCAATGTTCCCCCCTCTGTCTACCACCTCTCCCAGCTTTGTTGTCAGTCTTGATGACAATAATTTTGGCCTTGGTGGAGCTCTTCACATACCAGTCTCCAGGATCACACTGTCCTGCACACAGAAAAAGGGGGTGGGTGGGGGGGTCCTACTCAGAATTTGGGGCTTTTAATCTTCTTTTAAGATTCCCGAGCATGAAATAAGGTGACAACTCAAAACCAGATTTAGCCCGGCCAATTCAACATTGTTCAGCCAAATCCTTTTGGTAAAGTCGGATGACCCCTAATGACACGTCGGCCCAGCCTGTGCTGTGATCTCAAAACGTGTGTGTGGAATGAGAAATAAGGGATTTATCAATAACGTCTGAGCAAAGAAAAGCGCCATGTTTCATTAATGTGTGTTAGGAAACCATTCCAGTGAGCCAGGAGTGTCCGGTAGTGAAGGCCTACATTATTCCATTAAAAAAACACCATAACAATGATTAATTGAAAGTTAATGCGAAGACCTTTGAGAGCTGTCAAAAGACAGAATAACAAATAAAATAAAATTGAATAATCCCTGTCACTCTTTGCACCTGACCCGATAAAACAATTCAGAAATAAATGTTGGCTTTACATTTTTGCGTGGATGTTTTTTTTTATTATTTCTCGCTGCAGAGAGCGAATGTTTGCTTTTCTAGGTCAGCCCGCGCAGCCCTGTGAGATGACGGTCGTGGTTCCCACCAGGAGACGGTGTGGGGCGATGTAAGATCAAGGAAAAAGCTGCATAGAAAAGTGCTCACACAGGCTTGGATGTGCTTGCACATCACTCGTAGAAATGCCTATTTCCAATTTCCTGATTTCAATCAGACTGATAGAAAAACGAATAATTCAACCAGAGATTTCCCATGTGCATTAACAAACGGACGCTTTTTCTAAACTGTCAGTTCACTGAGTGATACCTAACCAGCAGCTCGCTGATCCGGGTGAGAGGGGACTACTCCCTCTCTCTCTGAACTGCACCTGCTGCTGAAGGTTGTTTTAATTTTGGTTATTTTTCCATACACTGGACTCGTGGCAGCCGTACCTGCTTTCACAGAGCAGTGGATGTGCGCCTTGGACTCGTAATAGACCCAGTCAAAGCCGGCTTCCACCGCCAGCCTGGACAGAGTCCCGTATTTGCTCTTGTCCCGGTCTGAAGTGGTGATGTCCACGGCCCGGCCCTCGTAGTGGAGGGACTCCTCATAGTGGTGGCCGTCCTCGTCCCAGCCCTCGGTGACGCGCAGCTTCACCCCGGGCCACTGGTTCATCACCGAGATGGCCAGCGAGTTCAGCTTGTCTTTGCATCTCTGCGGGAGATAGAAAAAGGGGATCAGTGTGAGGTCCTCAAGTGGGCACAAGCCAGAGTTGTCATCCAAACCTTTCCTTATACTGACATGCTTCCAGTTGCCCAACAGTTACAAACAACCTTTATATGATTTTCGGGGCACAGAAATAAACGCTTTTCGTCTATCTCCTTTCCACCTCCTACCCCCGAGCGTGTTTTATGTATTTATTTATTTATTCATCTTTTGTACACTTGCATGCTCTGTGAAATAAGGACAATTGAACAGCGTATCTGGGCTCAGAGAGGCCTCGCCCACACCCCTCCATCCCCACCTGACGCCCCGGGTTCCTCCCGGCTGAGGTGAAACACTGGGAGTGAACTGCAGCTCTGATTCTGAGCTTGCATTTCTGACTGTGAGCAGCAGCGTCAGAGGGCACATCTCGGGTAAGAAAGCTGCTCATGAAATATGGATAAGGCACTGCATTCGCTTCACTGGCCTATAACATGTGGGTCTTTGGTCTCGGGAAGGTGCTTAAAAAGGGGCAAAAAATGTTGCCTTAAAAACAACATTAATACATAATAAATTCATGAGCTGGTATTAGGCAATGGAATGACTGGGTACTTTGTCTGTTTTCTTTAAATGAATATTTGATACACAGGTGATATGAAGATGATCCTCCTTAAAATATATGGCGTTTGCAGCACAAATAGGAACCCCTCTCTCCCCTCTACGCGCTCAATGAAGATGCTTGGCCCTCTCCAAGACAACTATTCTCGACGCCTAACCAATATGTCAAATAAAACATCACAAAGAGTCTTTTCAGTCCAAAAGCGGAGGGAAACTTTCATTATTCTCCTCCAGCAAAGTCCTGCAAACGTGACATGCCTCCTTAAGTAGAGGTGTTCTGGCTGCTGACTGACAGACCTGTGAAATATCCGAAGACTGTGAGAGCGCACAGAGAAACGTCTATGAGTGACCCACTGTGCTTCCCCCGAATGGACAGCCCGGGGTCTTAAAGCAAGAATGTTCACATAGAGCTACAAAATCCAAGGGCAGAAGAAGTCCCTCATATATCGGCTGCCGTTTTATGTGGATATAACACTTGTAGAATGTGAATAAAAATCTGTTTTAAAAAAACAAAAACAAAAAAACACACAGACACTTTCGGAGTCAAGAACCGAAAGGCTTCAGCTATTTATTAATTCATTAGGTCGTGTGCCGCAAATCAAGCCAAATTCTGCTCAGCCACCATGAAGCCCAGCAGGACGCCTTGGACTGGCGCTTTGTGCTCGGGGTAAAGTTGTTCAACAGCCTGCCTCTTAATCTTTTCACAAATGATTTGGTTAGAGGAAACACTTATCAGCTACCTGTCAGGGCAAACAAGCCGCCAGCTCATCTCTTTTCCGACTCGTTTGCACTGTGTGCAGGCTCTGCCGCCACACAGCCCAAAGGACGCACGCTTAAAAGCCATTTCATCTGGCACCAGGACTTATTTCCCAGAAAGTACAACGCGATAACACGCCTGACAGGGATCCACTTTATTTAAGGCACCTCGACTACTTTCTTAAATTGAGTTCTTTTCTCCACAGCTTCGATTTTCTTGAAAACAAGTGAAACTTCCCAACAAAACCCTTAAACAAGCATTCGCATGCCTGGTTGATGTACTACAAAGATAACCAAATATCACTATGTGATGTGCTGATCAGACAATGAAGGATGCTGCAAACTGTCTGTAAAAGTCTGTCAAACAAACGCAATTACTGGACATTTTCGTGGGAGTGAGCTCAGTAGTGAAGCCTCGCTCCTCCTTAAAGATTAGTCCTGGCCGGACTTCAGTCCAGGATTGATTGATTAATTAATTCTTTTGACACACCTGATGGAGCCACATCAGCCACGTGCCAGTTTGGCGCACAACGTCTGCTTTCTAAAAGGCAAGATAACGGCAGAAGTCTGTTTCGTGTTCGTGCGTAACACTTCCATGCGTAAAAATCCACCGGATTCCTGCACAAAGCCGCGGAACAGAGTAAACAACGTTGGCACAGCGCAAATCCCCATGTGATAATGCTTATGTCACTTGGGGCTGCACATGGGTTTACGCGCTTTAATTTGGTAGCTTTGCAACTCCATGCATGATAGAACTTAATGTAAGCCCAAGTTGTGTCCCAGGCCAAGTAGGTTGCGCCCGAAAGCTCCTCCACGCACACGTCACACTAACAAGTGCTTTGTTTAAACTTTCAGATTGTCCATCAGAATTTGAAGCTAAATCAAAAGCCACATAATATTATTAATACTAATAGAAGAGAAGAAGCAAAAATAACAGGCACCGAAGTGAAGAATATAGATGCACCTGATATATGTTCTCAGAGGATCTCCCTCTTCTTAGTACGTTTAGTTACAGACCTATTCAAATGGCAGGTGGAATGTCTTGCACTTAGACCCAGAATAGAGCAGTGGTTCCCTGGATTTAAAAAAACACAGCTTACATCAGTCTATTTCTCCTTCTGCCAGAGGTGAGGAGCCTCCAAGATCATCCTCGGGGCTCCCTGAATTTCCACTCTGAGAGGCATCTTGCCAGGCCCGTCATTTCATGATCTCTGCGTTTGAGGACATACGTCTGACCCGGGAGACGTGCAGGTCTGACATAGGAGGGCGAAGACCGCACGCACTGTGAATATTTCATTTCATGCACGGTGTGGGTTGGGGTTCAGGGACTCCGGCGCGCGTCTGGCTTCATCACCACCAGCACCAGAACCAGCACCACCACCACCACGGGCGTTTTATTCTTACTGAGCCAATATCACCCAAGCGCCTTAAATAATTCACCGGAATGTGAGTGCTAAAAGTCATGCTGTAGAGACGCGGCATCCTGCAGCCGGGAGAGAAACCGAGGCAACTCTGCGCTGCATTGCGAGTGTCGTCTTATGTGCACGGAACTATGGCTTTGATATTTGGCAAGGTGGCTGCAAGAGGATGCAACAGAGAAAGATGGCATTCTTCATGCAAGTGCCCTGTGCGAGACTCAGTCGGTCCTTGAGCGTCTTTCTCTTGTAATTCACCGGGTCCCACCCATTTATGAAGTCCTCAAACAAATGTCACTGCCTTCATGCACGGGTGCACCCCACGCGCAGGCTGAATTACAGCAGCCCGGGTAGGAAAATGTCTGAATGAGCCACGCCATGCCTGAATAAGCCCGGCTGTTTGAAGCGGTGCACATCCCCAGCTCCCAGGGCTGGAATTAAGAGAAACGCTCTCAAACAGGCTGCAAGGTAAACCTCAAATAGGCACCAAATACTTTCAGTCGCAGCGAGGTGTAAGCTAAGGCAAATGCACGCATGTTCGAGCCACAAAACCAGCCCCGTGCAGATACAAATATAGATATGTGGAGAGGAGCGCATCAATATTTTAAATACACTGTCAAAACCATGAAGGCCGAGTGTCCTGACTGTCCGCCTGCACATCACTTCTTCAGCTGGATTTCTATATTCGCCTCCAGCCTGCAGCATTTGAAAAACTCCCCTGCTGCTGCATAAAGTGCATCTGCCTTTACAGTGAAGTTAAAAGGCTCAGTGTGAAGAGTTCAGCAGCGGGTAAAACAGACTTCACTTAAGGTGCGCAATCAGTCTGACAAGGAGGTTGTTGCAGTGCGCAGTGATGGTGCGTTAGGAGACGGGCAGTGGGGAAGGGGAAAAAGAGGTTATTCAGTCTCCTTACCTGAGTCATTAGCCGGTCGGCACCGGTGTTCTCTTCATCCTTGAATATGATGTCTGTGTTATAATTGGGAGTCAGTTCTTTAAATCGCTCGGAGTTTCTTGTGATCTTGCCTTCGTATCTGCCGCTTGCCCCGAGGGTCTTCTCCGCCACGTTGGGGATGAACTGCTTATACGCAAGAGGTGTCAGCTTCTTCGGGTGTCTTCTCCTGCCGTAGCCCCTGCCCGGTCCGCATCCCATCCCAGAGGACGCCAAGGACAAGCAAACGAGACCGAGCAAAACGATTCTGGTCCAAAGCAGCATTTTCTTTTTGTGTCCTTTTAAAGATCTCTAACGAGTCACCGCTGCTATCTCAGGCGTCTGCCTCTCCCGGCTCTCACAATGTCCTTGTCTCCTCTTCTACTTCGCCTTCGCCTGGTCTCTACCGCGGCAGGTGCGGAAATGAATGCCTCAGACAAACGCTAATAACGGGGCACATCGAAGGAGCGTTTTTTAAAAGTAGTAAAGGAATTATAAGCCACGGGATCTCTAGACGAGCTGCAGCCGCTTGTGTGAGCCGACCGCTTTTACCGCTTTGTATTATAGCACCGATCTATATAGCAGGGGAGGGACTTGATTGGCTCGCCTAGACAAACCCTCCTGATGTTATCCTACAAAAAAAAAAATCTTAAAAGATTTCTCCCACCTGAGGTTGCGCCTCTGTCGAAGGGAGGAGGGGCTCCTCCATGGGAAAACATCAATTATAACCCTTCTTTTTTCACCCACCCGTTTTCCAGCTTTCAGAGGAGAGGAAGCACAGACAGGACAACTCACAGAGAGCTGGGCTCAGATGTGGAGCAGTAGTTAGCTGAAGTGATTTCACAGTGCGTTTGGAGCAACGCTCCATGCAGACGGCGTTTTCCAATGGAACAGAACTGCTTTTTGACGCGCATGGCGCGCAACTGGGCAGAGGACTTTACAGTAACTGTAATCTAACAGAAAATAAGAAATGTATCAGAGTCTTTAAAGGCAGGATTGAATGGATTCTTTTTCTACTCTTTAAATTAGTTGAACGATTGTGCCTTAACGAGAACAACTTTGGAGACACTTGGTGTCATTAAGTTGATTAAAACTTTTAAGAAGTTTAAGCAAACAAATCTGAATTGGCATGTTGGGTTGACACTGTTCAGACTATATCAAACCTGATACAATATTCCCAAACAAAGCTCAAATACATTTGCAGTGCGCCCATGAACCGCCACACGATTTTTACGCATATACCCATTTTTACGCAATAGTCCTATACCACTAACATATAAGCTGTAAGTAAGTTTCTTTCAGATACCACTGAAAGTGTAAATATTTTGTAATGCTGACGAGCAGGTTCGCTAAAAATATGACACTTCATTTGGAACTAACTCTTCTATCCCCAATAAGCAGCCCTAAACTTGTTTGCTGTGAGTATGTAGTATCCACCTTTACTATGATTCGTTTGTATTTGAATCAGATTTGATCTCAGTCAACACTCTCCTGTTTTAAGCCAACACACGTGCAATTTTTTCCTTTGATGAAGGTCAATTGAGAATCTTTATTTAACTGCTTGGCACCATTAGACCTGAAATACTTAAGTGTAAACATTGAAGACACATGAGTTCAGACAATAACACACAAAAAAAAGATGTTGAAAATGTGCAGGGAGGAAAATTATTTGTCTGATAACAAAGAGTAATTACAGGAAGGGGGTTGTTTTGGGGGCAACCCTAGCTCTCATCATGCAGACAGTGATGCACATATGCTCTGAAGTGAGGACAGATATGCCAGCCTTTGGTGTGGCTTCAGTCTCATTAAACCTCACTCTGGCTGACCTCCAGTCTGGTGTTGTTCGAGCCTGTGCCAGGCTTGTGGCAACCAGAGAAGTGAGACTACCTGCCGCTCACTCAGACCAAGAGCATCGGTTCTTGGCCAAAAGATAGTTGTGCACCTGGCGTAATGCTTTGGATTAAAGATTATCTACTTCCAGCGATTGCTTTTAGTCTGTAAACCACTTTAGTCTGTTTGGGTTTTCTGTACTTTCTTAAAATGTCATCCATAGATACATTTTGGTGGCTGCTTCTGCAGACATGCTGTTCAAACAGAGAGCTGACAGCGTCTCTGGTGCCCCGAGGGCCACCAGAGGCACTGTTTGGCCCCAGGTCAGAGTGTTAGTTCAGGTGTCATCCCTCTGAGACAGAACCTGGCATGCCACAGGACTGCCCAAACCCACAGAGATGCAGAGAGGAGACAGAGCTGGAAACATATTGATGATGAAGGAAAAAAAAACATACAGCGGCTAAACACGCTTCTTTGTGAATTAACCAAGTGACAAAATGTGATGCCAGGGGAAATGAATAATGCAGGAATTGTTATGAATAATGCAGCCTAAAGAGCAAGTAGCGCTGATGGGTTTGAACTTGAGTTTCTCCCACAGAGGAAACCAACCATCTCTCATCCAGTCCTGGGGCAAAGAGTATTTGCAAACATCACACTCCAGTGTTTGGATTTGGCCCACGCCAACACTAGAGGAGCGGAGTATGAAGCTAAAAGGAGAAGAAATCACAGCACACGCTCCTGACCAGGTAACGTGGGCATTTGAGTTCTCATTCAAGAGTGTATAATATAGAAAAACAGAGACAGTAGAAAACAAATCGTGCCCTCATTAGATATTCTCCCTTTATTTCCCTAACAGTTACTGCAGGTTTGCATATGATTGTGACACAGCAAAAAGGAAGTTCAGTTTATGAAATAATTCTCGGGGGATTGAGGCCCCTTACACAATTCATATTAAGCAGCCTGTTGCATGTGATAGCTAATCCAGCATGAGGCATGAAACTGGCCAATGAGTCATCAGTTTCTGCTTCCTTCTGTGCGCCATCGAATCACGAAGCCCCCGAAACCTACAGACCCAGCATGCACCTCTACCTCCTCCAGTGTAGCCCGAACTCTGTGGCACTGGCTTCTATTAAAATGCCCCCTCCTCAGCTTGTCTGTCAAGCAAATCAATAGATATGCTTAGAATGAGGCTAAATCCACACCCACGTTTGATTTCTTGTGCCACTGTCTCCATCAAGCATGAGTGGGATGCAAGTTTAACCAGTGTAAGCCCCCCAATTACCGCTTTAAAGCCTCCTCCTGTCTGAATGTTTTGTAACATTGTTAGACGGATTAGGACTACGGAATAAATCACGCACAAACATATAAGTAGTGTCAGGCTTCTGTGTTGTTCTCCCTTGCTACAAATAGGGTTTCCTTTCTTTCAGCCATAGTAAAAGCCAGCCCTACCACAACTTCTTTGTGGCTTTTTCTCTCGCAGGTGGGGTTCACATTCAAACCCTTATCCTGTTTTGGACCTTTGACAAACAGTTTATAGTACAGACACGTTGCCATCTATCTCGCTAACATGTGTAGTCTTTTGTCACCATAATAAGGTTTGAAAGGTCTTCATCTAAATGGTTTATCTAAGCTGCACGCAGAAAGCATTATGTAGAAGTCAGAATTGAACTGATTCAGGTGCCCTGGGGTTATTCTGTCAGGTTCAATGGAAATTTCACAATACAGTATCTAGAATCACAGCCCTCAGCATGCCCCGGAGTCTGTAAAGGCATTTTATTTGCACTCTCCAGCCGCTCCCAATACTTAAACATTAAACGCCAAGGCTAGACAGGCAAAACCACTTTGAACTGCAGGGCAGGGTGAACTCTGTGGGAGGGGAAGGAGGTGAGTGACTGGAGAGCGAGGGGCTGGTGTTTGTGCGATACTCCACCAGGTGAGTCAGCTCCAGCCGCCACTCACTGCAACACCATCACCGTCTTAGGCAATGGTGATGGAGAAAGGAGGGGCTCGGCGGATAATGGCATTACAAGTATTAATACTTTTAGACATAGCTGTGCTGAGACATTTATGACGTCTGATGTCTAGTCATTCTATTTAAAGTGCTTGTTTTGTCTGATTTGTGCTGTAGATATATTATTTTTAATTGCTTGGATAAATGTGACCACCAAACTGACATTCATAAGGTCATTCCTGAGGATCATTTGAATTGAATTGAATTGAATTGAATTGAAAGCCTTTATTGTCATTGTACACAGTACAATGAGATTTACCACGAGATGACACACATAAAGTTTATGTAATTTTGAGCATCTTATCAGAACAGTAACATGAGTCAGGTCATATCCTCGTGTCTCTGAGCAAAAAACAGATCTTTACTTTGTCCTAAAAAAGGCAGCTGTTAGTTGTGAAAGTGACACTTCGGCTAAAAATGTTATCACCTGATTTAAATTGAACTGAACAATCAAACTGAAATCAATGCATGTCATTCTGAATCAATCTTCTTGTTTGTGTTTTGAATTTCTACATTTTTGACCAACAGCCCCTTAAGCTTTTGTTTTATTTTACTTTGATTTCCAAGAAAATGTGGTACACTTGGTATGAATCAACACTTGACTAAATAAATCAGAAACTCAGTTTTATTGTTTTGTTAAACCCGGTTTGATAACCCAGGAAACAAACAAAAGGAAAGTTCAACCTCTTTTTCCCTCGATTCGATTGTGTGTGATGTTGGATTTAGCTGTTGTCTAACTCATGCATCTTACCGTCAAAAGAATTAATACACAGTTGGTGTGTATGTCAGGGATGATTTTATCATTTGGATGGGGTAAAACCAAAGATACAAATGAGACAGAGACAATCTCCTTTTACTCTTCTTTGATTAGTTGTTTGAACTTCATGTGTGAAGTTGTTGGAGCGTCCATTTGGATGGAGAAAAATGATGTGCCAAAAATCCTGATCAAGATAATGATATGACCTTATGTTGATCTACAAGCTTACAAGAGAGCGTTTCAATCCAAACCCCACCACTTACTCAAAGTCATTAAGTTGCGAAACACTGTTTAAAAGACTGAAGCGGCAAACAGAATCACAGTGATTGAAAGTATTGGCTGTACAAACGAACATCTTAAAGATGAGCAATCTGCTTCAACATGAATCCTCAGCGTTTGGTTTCATTAAAGCGAGAACACTGATTCTATCTCTCTAATGAGCCGAGAGTGCTTCAAGTGTGTGCCATTTCACCTCAGGCGACAAAAACAGTGGTAATAACTCCCCTCTGACTAAAATGAACAATCAGAACACAACAAACAGCAGGAAAACTTCAATCACACCCTGTTAGCAGGCTACTACACTACCTATGCCGACCGCAGTCACCACCTCTCTGTCTGAGTCACTTTAGGTTTGATAACGTGCTGCTCAGGCATTCTTCTTCTCAATCAGCTCTTTCTAATTTGTCCTGATAATATCTGCAAAAAAAGACATCTTTCATCAAATTGGCATGCGAATTTCCATCTGTTAGCTTGCGAGTTTGAATTTTCATATCTCAAATGAGTATTTGCACCCGCAGTGGATATCCTATCCCTTTAATATCAGATAATCTCAGGTTGATTTTCCGCAGATATCTAGATTTAGCAAAAACAGGAAGTGTACAGTTTGAGTCAAATCGATGCTGATAGTAATCAGCTCCACAGCAACTTATTTCCTCCCCGGTTTGA